TTAGGGTTAGGGTTAGGGATAACTGATTTCTGCAGCTACAATACACTAATAAAGCGCCATCTCGCGGATCACTATCTCTCCCCCTGAGACCTACTAATGAGATTTTAGCAAGGCACAGGGCGTAATAGGCCGCTGTGATATGATCACGGAGATAAATCATGGAGAATGACACGGAGGAATGTCAGGTCACGCACGCACAGACACTGGAATCGAATAGAGTCAAGTATATTATATATGGTCCAAATAACCATTAAATCTTCACTGAGGGCTGGGGATATAATTATCACAATTGGCTTTTTTTCTTGAATAATTAGGGATATGATAGCTGGAGCTGTGATAGGAGCCTGGGGCACCATAGTCAAGATCACATATCAACTATTACTACACTTTGCTAACTTGCTAATCAGTTGACAGTTTGGTTTGTGTGCTCGTGGTAGTGTACGTCGCATGGGCGAAATGCGCGCGTTGAACGATGCGTGCTGTCCTTCCTAAATAGAACTATTTGTAATATTATGCGTTACTCGCGCACGTGGTGAATGTACGATAGTACCCCCTCCCAAAGGGCAAGAGTACAAGATGAGTTGAAATATAGTGGGATATAGTGTGCGTGTTTGTGGGTGCGTGCGTGCGTGTGTGTGCGCGTGTGCGCGCTCGCGTGTGTGTATGTTCATATGTGTGTGTGTGTATGCGTGCGTGCGTGCGTGCGTGCGTGTGTGTGTGTATGTTCATGTGTGTGTGGTTGTGTAGGATTGCTAGGTGTTTATAGAGTACTATATTTCCAAACGTCCTGCAGGGGTTTCCGATACAGCTAACGCAGTTCTCATTATATTGACCTATAAATATATATAGGTCATATATATATATACGGGGCTTGTGTGCCTGTACATCTCCGCGTGCATTCGCTTGAAACAGATATATATATATATCTAACCGCCGTAGGTTGTTATATATTCTCATAAAATAATTGTATTCGTTACGTTGACACGTCTTCATAGCGAGTGCATATAAACGGACCTTCGGCAGAGATTCACGAATTGCTGAAACATACACGCACACACACACGCACGCACGCACGCACGTACGCACACACATACGCACGCACGCACGCAAGCACGCACACCGACGCACGCACGCACGCACGCACGCGCACGCACACACACACACACGCAAGAAAGCACGCACACCGACGCACGCACGCACATATATAATCTACCGTAAAAAGATGTTAAAGATGTATGGAAGCCGACACGAGGAAGATGTTTATTTGAAGTGAAACTACAAAGTATACTACAAATTAATCCGCGAAGCCTCGCGCTGCAGCTGTCCACATTTGTCCGCACACTCTCTCCTTTGCTTGCCGGCTTTTCCGTGGATCTCGTAGACACTTGTTCCTTTTAATAGCTTTACACTAATTACACGTGACAGCTTAAGTTAGATCGTGTCTTGTCCGCAGGCGCTACTCTCTCATGCACGCGTTGCTAAACACGAGCTGTAATGAAATTCCGCTTCACAATAGTTGTTATAGTTGCAATAGGCGTAGTTCGAGTACATTGCGTCGCCTTGTCCACTTAGTTAATGCGTTTCCTCGCTGTCCAACGTTGAGTCCATTAGTAAGAACTATATAGCCCGCAAATGTCATGGAATGCGCATTTGCATCGTGTAGGCAGCTCGGCAGCATTAGCCGTGTACGCGGCCCGCTACGAATGGTAAGCAACTGCCTGTAAGTAAGACTAAATCCCTAAGCGCTAATTCAGTAGCCAAACACGCACATAGCCGGGTCGTGCACGTGAACGAAACCCAAATGAAACCCTCATGTGATTCCTATATGTGAAGTGCATATGATCCCCTCAGCTACAATCCATACGAAGCCCTTCGAAGTCCATATTATGAGTGCAGGGAAAGTCCATATTATGAGT